GCACATGTAATCCTATTAATTGATTTGAAGTATTTCTCCTTTAGTATCTTCTTCTACAGAACTCGGCCCATCGCGTCCTCATCTGGAAAAGGACCACACATTAAACCCGTGACGACTGCATACTTTTGCAGGCAGAACTTGGCTAAGTGTCCCTGCACATTAAACCATAGTTCGTGGGCTTTATCAGTTTGTATGCAGCAGAACACGAACTGCTGGATTAGTTGAGCGGAGAATTGGAGATTTGGAACCTCGGACAAGAACCAAAGGCATGAGTTACGAAAGTCCGTGCGCTGTTGGTCATCGAAATGTTCAAGGGCTATTTTCACATAACGCAAATTACTTCTTTGTGAGATGTGGACCCTCAGCCGTGCATCGTTCGGAACTAGAAACTCGAAGTCCATGTATCCTATGACATAACCAAAAATGTAAATGTCAGATCATAATTTTTTAAACACACATGAGACGTCCAGATGAAAATAATTGAACTACATATGGACCAACAAGGTAAGACGACAAATTAATCAACAAATTATGAGTTTATAGCATTTCATACATGTTAATGCGAAACACAGGTGCATTATTGGAACGAAAGTTCAACTTCTTGGTCGACAGTTAGCTTAGGTAAATGAAGGATGTCATTCCCGATAGTTCATCTGTCGAGAACTACTGCAGATAACTGTCGGAATCAACAGTTCGAACCGTCGATGAGTCTGTCGAGAAGGCTAACTGCGACAGTTAGCCTTCTCATAAGTGAATTCAAAACTATGCTGTGAAGGGTCTAGGAACAAGAGTTCCACCCAAATACGAGTACCACCACAACTTTCACAATATTTTCCTTTTGTAAGATCGAAATTACAACTATATTTTGACAAACGACGTCATCCTCGAGATTATCAATTTCTTAACATGATTTTTGTCAACATCCGTGCATATTTATTCGTTTGCCAACTAATGAAATGAGTAAATTCTATACTAACCAAGTTAAAAAACACAAGTTCAGTAACAAATACAGCATATGGATTGCAAGAAAAAACAATGTCATTTCCACATCAGACAAGCAACAATAACATTGAAAGCTTAGATATGCCAATGTTAGTCAAGATTTCCACCCACATGCAGAGAACAACAACATCCCACAAAAGTTGCAGATAGTGAAACAAGGTTATTTCCACAACAGACGACTAACAAAAACATTAAAACCACAAAAGTGTCAAGGGTCAATGAAGATATCTGCGACTATGCATAAAAGATACATTGTGTAATGCACAGGTAGAACCACTTATGAGAGGAGGAAGAATTTTGTATCCCAAGTTAGCATGGATTGGGCAACGAAAAATATACACAGGATTATGTTTCAACAATGGCTGTATTCATATTAAAAGCCATAAACAAATACTGTGTGATGTCAGCTGTAAGAATATTTTCCTCATATTGCTTAGCGTGTACTCAATCATCTTTTTCTTTTTATTTAGACTATCGTATTATACATATGTCATCTTTTGAAATGCCAAAAATATTAAAAGCAGTTGAGTGTTTCTTGTACCTTCCGCATGCTCCTTTGATCATTTTATGATAATTTTATTTAGCAAAACATTTATTCAGCAATCTACACGTCACTCATGCAAGTATCGAGAATATGTAAAATAATTTTATTCCTGGAGTAAACATATCTTCCAATCAGGCTCCATTCATGATACTGATGTGATCCTAAGTTAACATGTGAAACACTAAAATGTGAATGCCCAAAACAAACGTGGTCTAGGCCCACAAATATGCCAAGTATTTATCAACATTTCCATCCAAATGCACAATATAAAATATATGAGTATCACCACAATAGTTGCCAAACCACCACAAGCAAACTGGTTACTATTCGCAAAAGCTTATCACAATCTTAAACATTACAAATTCTAAACAAATTTCAATCAACAAAAGAACAATCCATTTGCTACATTTAGAGCATTCTTTAGAATCTAAGACAATTAGCATTGAAATGGGGGTTTCACATTACAGAAATCTACGAAGTATTGCATTTCAGATTCATTCTTTACTGAAAAAACAAAAGAGAAAAGACGATATGTAAAATATTACACAAGACGAAAGAGAAATTAATGGGCACTAACAGATTACCTACTTCTCTGAAGTCCACGATTTCCTCTACTTCTCACTGCCCTCTGTAGTTAGTGGCTAGGTTTTCAACGGCTCTTGGGGAGGGTTTTCGGTCGATTTTTATTCTCAATGAAGCCTCTATAATAAATGAGGCCATAGGTTGGCTTAGAGAGGAAAAATGCAAAACGAAATAAAAAGAACTATATATTACCATTTATGAAACAAGTACTTTAAGACCCCAGAATTTTTTTTTTTTTGAAATCCTTTAAATATAATATATTGGGTACAGCTTTATAAGTCAATAAACAAATTACAACACGAAAATTAATTACATGACTAAATTTATTAGCAAGAGATGTAGCCAATAAAACCTTAACATAATTGTGAAGAGCATGAGTCAAAACACAATGACAACATACATATTTTTTTTCAATCAATACAGAAGTGATCCAATTCTATCTTCTGATGCTCTGAATGAGTGAAGCAGACTCCAAAGTAAGTATTAGTGCATAGAATAATCAGTCATGGTAGCACCTCCATGAAATTCTTGTGCAAGAATTCTACTATAATTTAAAAAAAAAAATTTACTATATTTTGTTAATTGTTTCTTACACTTGAAAATAGAAAAGAATAATGTATACAAACTGTAATTTGGAAGGATTCTCAGATGTAGAACTTACATTTTCATTAGCAAATCTGAAAAGAATGTCAATAATTTACGAGTGAATCAGAAAGAACAAGTGTTTATTCTATCATCCATATTCTTCAACCATCTCAAGACTCATCGAAGACAAAAAACAATTTCACAACTTCTTCCAAAAGAAATATAAAGAATCCCTTATCAAAATAACAAATTAAAATAACACACATTTTCCCATTCATAGACATATTTCCAGATCTAAGCATCAAAAATTCCAATAAATTCATCACACGATTAATCCCACAAACAAAATTCATAATGCCCTACAATGAAATATATACAAAAACAAGAATGAAATCCAAGTGTAGTACCTACTCTAACTGCAGCGGCTGGACAGGGTCATGAATGCGAAATGCCGGCGAAATAATCGACTGCACGGGGTCGTGAATGTGAGAGGCCACCAGCTCGTCGACCGTTGCTTTTGACCGCCGTGCCAATGAAGGATTATAGTCTGCAAGAAGCCAAACCCGATGTCTCCACGTAGAGACGAGAAGCTGAAAATCTGGCTAGAAAAAAGGGAGCCGACGAGTGACAGAGAGGCAGTCGGCGTGAGACTGAGACGCAGAGACGAGAGGGAAATGAAAGAAAAAATTGAGAAAGTTACGGTTGCAATTAGACAGAGACAAGAGGGAAATGGAAGAAAATTTTGGGAAAGTTAGGGTTGCAAGTGCATTTCATTTCCCTCTCGTCAGTGACACAGCGTCTCGTTCAGAGTGTCAAGGATATATACGGTATTTGCTATTATTCAGAGAGTAAAAAATGTCCTAGATTGACATTTTTGATAGAAAATTTAAAAGGTGACATTTTTTATAATAGACAGCCAAATTTTGACACCCAATAATATTTCCTCAAAAGTTAATTGAATTCTTGGGCATTTGCTTTCAAAGAAACAATACTTCATTCCAAAAATTCAACTAAAATCAAGCTTACAGCCCAAGAACTGAAACAAATTCATTTGTATTTGAGTATATATATATATATATATATATATTTTTTTTTTTTTTTTTTTTTTTTTTTTTAGGGGAAAACCCGCAGTCGTACCCTTAGAGCGCGTACTGGGTAAACCCTTGGGCTGATGTTTTTCTCATACGAGGCTTAAGACAAATGCATACATTTCGATTGCTTTGACAAGACCCAATCCAAAGAAATGCACCAAAAATCAGTTAAAAATCATACACATTATTTCAATTAATCAATCAACAATAATTCATGCTTGAGACCTAAAAATTCAAAATTTTCGCACAATTTAATTGGAAGTTAAAATTTGCGTTCAATGCCTCAAAATCAAAATGTTTCACGTAATTCAACTAGAATAAAACTCAAAGTAATAGAATCATAATGTTTCATAGAAGCCGTACTTTCTCAACAGCATGCAATGCAGTACCATGACCCCCAATGAGAGCAACTATAATCATGAGATCAAAATCAAACGATTTCGGAGGGCTACCATTGCCTGAAGCCGAAGCTGAAACTCGCGCTTGTAGAGCTTGGAAACTAAGTGAAAACCAAAAGCCTCTTGCCTGACAGTGCATAAACGGAATTTGATCGGAAAGTGGAGCTTGGGTTTGACACACACACACACACACATATAGAGAGAGATGTCTGTAGATCAAAGACCTTGCTGTTTGTATAGGGAGGGTGTCACACCCTCCCTGACAGAACAGATTCATAAGGGGAGGGGGGAGCAATTTTTTATCATTTTTTTTCACTTGGTTTCCATGCGAATGTGAGAATCTGTCAAGAAGATAATAAACTATTTTTCTATACAAATGGTATTTTTCGTAGATCAAATACAAAAATATATATAGAGATCCGAGCAAATCATTACACTGTCTGCGTTTGTATAACTGTATAAGTATGCATAAGTTACAGTTGAAGAGAGAGGCGTAGATATCGAAGAGCCGCGGATAACCCCGCCATTGGAGGCTGATGTGGCAAGCCCAGCTACATAGCCAGGGCCCATGTGGGCCTTACCAAGAAGAATAACTTGGAGGAATTATTTTATTGGTATCATGAACGAATCAATTAGTAAATGCCACTTGTCACAGGTCAGTTTGGGAGGAAAAAACACCCAAATATCATCGCTTCACGTGCGCAAAAGGTTAGTGGCACCTCCTGTAGTTTCTCCTCGTAAGAGGGGTAATATCGTCATTTCACAGCAGTACTTTAGCTGGTTTTCAAAGGTCGGGCTCCAGGAAATGCTAAAAAGGAACACAGAAAATAATGGGAGATGTAGAGAGAATCTTTGCTATAATATTATCAATGACGGTTCGGGTTTTCAATTGATCTGTACCTAAAACCCGACCGGAATTACGCCACAGTGTTATTTTTAGTTTTTGGATTCTGTGAACTATTTTATTGGAAGATGCTGTGTATTCAGTTCGGTAAATTAATCGTGCGGTTCGTACAGTGTTGAACTTCCACTTCTCTTCTTCTATGGGCGCGCAAGGAGAAGTACCAACCGTCGACAATTCGATGCAGGTCCGTCTGTTTTACTTAAAATTTTGATTAAAATGATAAAAAAAAAAAAGTTTTATCTTTTTCACTAGAATTGAAGTCTTGTTCGTTACTTTTTTAATATTATAATTTTTACTCTTTTATGGAATTGAAGTTCTACTCCGTGTACTTGTATGATATCATAATTTTATCGTTTATGGACTAAATTTTGATTTGTAAATTAGATTTGATCTTTATTTTCTGGGTTTCACTGTACACAATTGAATAGTGAGTTTTGGAAGATCTTTTGACTGGCATGCAGGAGTGCAATTGTGATATGAAGTACTTTCTTTCTTAAGCATGTGATATAACTGGTGTCTATGTCTTGCAAATATTATATGCTTAGTTTTTTTCTCAATCTTTGCATTTGGGTCAGGGAGCAAGTGTTCTGTGGGGTTTGCCTTCAAATTCGACTTTTGAAAATATGGCGTTGTTAGTATTGCAAGAATTTTGTTCTGATCTGAAATTATCAAGGAAGATATTGGAAAAAAAATTTCTTTTTCCAAATCAAGGTACTTGAAGCTTTTGCGATGGCCTTATGTTGTAAGTTGTAAGCCTTGTGACTAGCTGCAACTGCTCACCATATCCTGAGGCTGTAATTTCATTACCTTTAGCAAAGGATTGTCCAAAAGTCATACAATCTGAACCTGGTTATGATCTTTGAGATCTTTTCAATAACTGATCATCATGAGATCCTCCAACATATGTCTATAATTACACCATATATTTGAAAGTAGATATTCTTTTCAATCATGCTACATGTACATTCTTGTTTATATTAAGTTTGACATCCTAGCACATGACAGTGATCATAGCCATTGATTTTTACAACACCCTTTCACATAACTGGCCAGAATTTGACACAAAGGGAGGAATGTCAACAACAATGTACATATAGCTTAATTCTATTATTTTTAACAAATATGTTAAACTGAACTCAGATAATTCTTGACAAATATTAAGGCTGAAAAAAGTTGCACCATAAATTAAGATCTGAATCTGTACATTCTTGGTTTTGGTACCCTTTAAAAACATTGAGAGCAGCAAAAGATAAGAAGCTAAATGTTTACTATCATTGTATACTTCAACTTATATGAACAAATATAAAGAAGGATGAATTTCAGAATCAGCTATTCACCATTGTACAAGCAGAACAGCACTGAAGAGGATAAATAGTATGAGGTTCAATCTACATAAATTGTAAGATAATGAAGAAAAGGGAATCAGAGCAGAGCTATAGTGCTACTGCTGTTGCTACAGTACTAACTCCAACTTATTGTTGGGAAAAAAAATATGAAATTGTAAACTAGCAGATGAGTTGAAAAATTTTCTTCTTGGTGGAGCCCGAAAACTTGCTGAGGCTGTATTGATATTTTGCTTTAAAAAAAATGATGACTCGATGGATTATGTATTCATGGTAAACATCTGATCCTTTAGGAGAGTAGAAATGTTGATTTTCTTTAATTCCTTCTATCTATACTTTTAATTTGGTCCTTTCCTTGAATGTTCATAAAAGCAAAGGGTCCCTTATTTTCTATAGTGTGTGCATCATTACAACGATGGACCTCAGTCCCTTTATAGTTTTTTTACATCCTATTCTCATAATCTCAGCGCGTCAAGGTATACCTTCTGACTGATGACGGGACATGGGATGACCAAGGAACCGGTCACATCACTGTTGATTATCTGAAGGTTTGTCTGTTTTGTGGTCCGGTCTCTATATTCTGTTAATTTATGTTGGATTGTATATGCTGACTTCCTATTTGTAATGCTCACTTACCATTTATATTTGGTCTATCTGAAATTAAAATTTTGACTTGTGATACAGAAATCTGGAGACTTGGGACTTTTTGTTATTGATGCAGACAATGAAACACTACTATTGCACCGCATCAGCTCAGATGATATTTATCATAAGCAAGGAGGTATTCTTATGTCCTTTATCATTTTCTTGTTCCCAATTTTAATTTATCTTTCACCTTATTCCATTTTTTGTAGCTTACTATCACATGCACCTAATATTTTCAGATATGATTATTTCGTGGAAGGACCCAGAATTCTCTACTGAATTGGCCCTTAGCTTCCAAGAGACAAGTGGTTGCTCTCACATATGGTAGTACCAGATATAGCCTCTTTTTGTTTGTTTACTCTATCTACACTGCAGCTTGCTTGCGTTTTCCTTATTTTCTTTTCAGATTTCTGGGTTACATTGTAGCGTTCTAATATGGGATAATTTTTTGTTTAGGGATCATATATGTAGTGTGCGAAGGAATTTTAGCTCTCTTGATCGTAAGTACTTTCACAATTCCCTTTATGACTTATGCAGTCCATAGTAGTCCCTGTTTATATTAATTATCTCATTGTAATCCTGTTCCATCAAAATGTCCACTAACTTACATCTACGTGCTTTCTTTTTAAAGGCTTAATTTACTTCTTGTACTTGGTCAGGTAGGGCTATATATTAATTATTATCAAGCTGAAAATTGTTACTGCTTAAATTTTTGTCACTTTGTATTTGTTACCCCAGTTTTACTTACTAGAAGAGTTCTTGCTCACATTTTGTCTGAGTTACAATATACCAGGCATCAAATGCCTACATCTGTACCTACATGGCGACATTTAATTTGATGTTTGTATATAACCTTTTTTTGAGCCCCATTTTTTTTATCAAAATACATTTTTCAACAGTAATTTGACCTCACTTCAACCACACATTTTTCAATAAAATAATATTACACGCAAATCCACGACTTTTCACTATTTTTTAACCACACATTTCTTATCAATAAACTATTCAAAAATGCATTTTTTAACAAGAATGGGGCTCAAACAAGGGCATATAGTTATCACAGGCTGTTTACTTTGTTGCATGAAGATGTTATGGTTGACACTGCATGAAGCTGTTATTGTTGACACTCCATTTTGTAATTTTTCAGGTGAGACATATCACAATGTCAATGGTATGATGATGGAGTTGCCTCCAGTAGAGCTATCTACGCTCCCTTTGATACTTAAGGTTTTTGTGAATTCCTCTCTCTCCCCCCCCCCCCCCCCCCCCCCCCCCCCCCTCCTTGTCCTCTCGCATCCTTTCTATTATTCACCTCAATATTATAATTTAGTTCTCATTTATGTTATTTATTTTGTTCTTTGTTGCATTAGAATTATGTATTTCGTTAACTAAATGTGTGAAAGAAAAGTTTGCTGATTCATTGCATCTCATAACTTATTGTAGTTTCTTTCTTTTTTAGTTCCATTCTCTTGGTCTTTACCTGAATATTACTTTAACTTCCCTGATAAGTTTTTATCTGTTTTATTAGTTATGTTCCTGTACATTTTTCAATTATATTAGTATTTTTTGTTGTAGTGTATCATCTGATACAATTGGACACATCTTATTAGGACCTTTTGTACGTTCTTCTAGTTGGTGAACTTATTCTGGTGGGTTAAAATCTTTGCTATCTTTTACTTGTTATAAAGATTATTCTATTATTTTTGTGGTTTTGCAGAATGTAGTTGGGAGTAGGATTGCTGGTGAGGTCCAAGTGGCTGAACACTTAATACATGATGTAAGTTTTGTCAATCTTTCTGGTTGTAAGGATTAAAATCTTTGTATCTTGCAAACAATGGTTTATTGAGGAACATGTACTTGTCATAGTAATCTAAGAGCCTGTTTGGGAGTGATTGAAAATTGATTTTTTGATCGTTAGGAGAAAAGTGGGGTCTACTTGTGAGAGAAAAAGTCAAATATGACGGCTGAAATAGTGAAATAATGGTCAAAAAATCAAATTTTTTGGAAGAAAAATCACTCCCAAACAGGCTGTAAATGTGTGCTTGCGCGTGTATTTTTGAGTATCTACCATATTTATTACTTATTTATTTGTTTGAGATAAGCAGGTCTATATTGTTCTTTGTTCTTGTCAACTGATAATTCTCGGGGCAAGGTTGGAGGCAACTGTGATTTAAAAGTTAACATTTTAGTAATGGCTTTCTGTTATCCTTGGAAGATAACACATGTACCTTGGGGCAACCTTAAATTCCTTTAAATAAGAATCATTTACATTGAATTTGGGAATGAAACTTATTCCGCATTTAAGCCCACGAAGGAACAAATGAATATGGCCTTTAGATTACAAATGACCAGCCTATGGTGTGATCCAATAACCTATTGATCACTTTGTACTTGTGGTTTAGAAGTCGAGAATTATGATAAATTGGTTCTATCTTTATAAAATTAAATATTTTTGGCATAAACTATAACTAAAAGTTGTGAAACAAAATACACAAGAAAGGTGTGGATAAATGAAAGGATAAGAGAGAAAAATATCAGTAATAAAGAATTCCGATATGTGATATATCTATTAGTCATCTTTCAAGTATTTGATCTTGGACTTCCTCATTTTTCTTTCCCCTTCTCTTTTGCCCTTTTCCTTTAAAAGTAAGATACCATCCCACTCATCTCCTGTATTATATCATAAATGAAATCTTGCACACTTTATTTGGTGGATCTCTTAATTCTTGTGGTTTCTTTCTTTTTAACTGTGCTGCTTTTCAAAATTATAAACTAGTACTATTTATTGAGTGAAGCTTCTCACCGATGCAGGAATATTTTTTTGGGAAGCTGATAGGCTTGTTTAGAGTCTCTGAAGATTTGAAAAATATTGATAGTCTTCACACGATTTTCAAAATTGTTAAAGGAATCAGTAAGTAGTCTTAGCTTTCTACTCAGTATGTTGCTGACATTTTGCTGACCTAATTACTCTCTATGCTGACTTGCAGTCTTACTCAATAGTCCTCAGATTTTTGAGAAAATATTCAGGGATGAGCTAATCATGGATATAATTGGATGCCTTGAATGTGAGTAGACCTTTTTCCTATTTAAAATTATAGCTTCAAGCAAATACTATTTGGACCTCCCCCCTCTTCCTCTTGATGCCAGCAGCAAACAAAGTATTAAGAAATTAACTAGATATCTTTGCTTCATAATGCCCAACACTTGCAAATTGACCTCGCTTGTGCTCTCCCCGTGACAAGAAAAAGGCGGTCTTTTGTGCTTTCAATTTTAGAGGTCTCCTTTTAGATGAAAGACCACATTTAATGCTCTTAATTATATTAGACCATATTTTTATTTCTCTACTATTACAATTTCATTTTATCCCATAAAGATTAATATCTTAAGCTCTGGTTGTGGGGTCATGAAAAATTGGTTTAGGGGTCGGGTGCTGCTACACATGGGTCATACAATGTTCCTGGGGATACTTATAAAAGATTTACTTCGGTTTTTTGAGTGGGTATCTTTGAATCGAACACTATGTCTTATGTCTTTTTTTTTTTTTTCCTATAATTTTTCAACTCCAAATTGGGACCACGTGTCAATTTCTTTCGCTTTTATGAATCATCCAAACACAAAGGCTTCCTTGCATTCAAATTTATTTGTTAAAGGAGATGTGACGACAACAGCTAACAATTTGTTTTTCAGGATCTTCCACTGCTGTTATGGTCTTGCTTATCACCATAGCATCACATTCATCACCTCAATTCACCAGTTTTCTTCATCTTCTCTCATTGATAGGCAATGCTAGATTCTTGTGGTTGATTTCGCATATATGTTGTGCCTAACCTTGTTGTTTTGATGTTTCGGCTAGTACATTTGAGTGCTGACATTATCGCATGCCAACTTAATCAAGTCTATATCTGTCGCCTAAATTCTGTAGAATTATGTTCCTTGCCTGTAGTAGGTTTGGATCATAGATCTGTTGAAACACAGATTAGTACTGGGAGATTTTTATTGAATTTGCTCGTGGTTTTGTTCTTCGTATTCTTCTTGTAAATTATCAACGTATTTCTAATTACTATGTAGGTTCTTGTTCTACTTAATTGGGAAAAATTAAAGAAATGTTCTGTATTATGTAAGGACCTGATGATTTTTATGTAACCTCCTTGTACATCACAGAAGGCATGTGATCTTCAAAGTACTGGGAACAAGCTAGGGTGTTTCTACATGAGCCTGTTCCCTGTGTTAAGGAAATATGATTGTTAGCTCTGTTTCTCTCTCTGATTCTCAGCTGTTTTCATGATGATAAATTGCTTCTAATTTGTTTTCAGATAATCCCGATGTACCTCATGTCCATCATCGACACTTTTTAAGAGAGTACATGGTGTTTAAGGAGGTAAAATTTCCTCAACATCCCCTTGTCCCCGTGGGGGAAATAAAAATGGAATTCTCTGAGAGGAACAATGTTCATTATAGATGGGGTAAAGGGGTTCATTGATCCAGATCATGTTTTCTTTTGTTGCTAATTCTGATATTATGGGCATGTTTCAGGCCATACCTATTAAAGACCCTGTTGTCCTTCCTAAGATACATCAGACCTACAGAGTTGCATATCTAAAGGTAATACTATACTGCTTTTTATGCAGATCTTGTTCTTCATTTACTTGTATTGTTAATGAAATTTGTGCCTTTTATTTCCTATTCCAGGATGTTATCTTGCCCAGGGCATTGGACGAGGCCACAGTTGCAAATCTTAATTCTATAATTCATTCAAATAATGCAATTGTAAAATTCTGATCAAATTGTTTTAATCCTATAACCATTCCCGCTTGGTGTTGCCTTGATACTTGTGCTTTTGTTCGCCGTAGGTTGTCTCTTTGTTAAAAGATGACAGTACTTTCATTCAGGAGTTATTTGCAAGGTTGAAGTCCCCTACCACTTCCACAGAATCAAAGAAAACTTTGGTGATCATTATCCTCTAATGCCTTTTTTGCATTTTTCTAAGTTCATATGTTTGGTGCCATTTAAACCACCAAATGCTTGATTATCATGATATATAACTTTCTAGCTCTTGTGATAATATTGCTATTTATCCGTATCCCATCAGTGATGCCTTTAGGCTTTAGAAATCAACTAATCAATATTTGGAGAAGAAGTAAGAAGTGATGTCTGAACAAGGGGAACTTCTAAAATTTAGAAAGATGTTTTCATTGCCCTTATGTCAGTGTTGCCATACCTTCTACCTTTGTACAAATGTGCCAGTTGTAGGATTTCATTCTTTAGAAATATGTTCTCATTCCTCTTAAAGAAACCTGGTTTTGTGCTGATTTGCTGTCTGAGTGCATATTCTTCGAGCAAGGTATCTAGAGATAGTTACTGTCTTTCGGATTTCTGCAGTGGTTTGTTATATATTTTTGTTATTGCAATAGATATTGCTGTCCCTTTTGTATAGGGAGGGGAGGGATAAGTGTTCCTTGGCTCATTATATAATTTAGTACTGTTCATTTTTTATTGAAATAGGTACACTTCTTGCATGAATTTTGCACCTTAAGTAAGAGCTTGCAGATGACTCAGCAACACCAGCTATTTAGGTACGTCGTAGCATTCGCATCCATTTTGCTTTCTGTTTTATTATCAGATCAGTTGTCCCTTGTCCTTTTTTGACAACTTATTTGAACTTATTTTGTGTGTTCAAATATTTTAATTGTTTAGAAACATTTATTTCTATTTTTATGCACTATATTATTTCTGGATATGTTTAATTCTTGTAGGGATCTTCTGAGTGAAGGCATACTTGATATCGTAGCTGATGTATTGCAGAATGAAGACAAGAAGCTTGTATTGACTGGGTAATGAAACAAACCATTATTTTAGGCGTGTAAAAGATTTTTCCCCCCCTTTTCTGTTTGAGTTTTTCCCCTGAATATTTTTTCACTATATCCGTTGAAATGCATGCAGGATAGACCTCCTCGTTCTTTTCCTAAATCAGGACCCAAACGTTCTGCGTTCTTATGTAACTCGGCAGGATGTTCTTTTTGGACTTCTGGTAATCCATGTTGGATATCAAATATTTCCATGCATTTTTAAATGCCTTTTTGCTGCATGTAGTGGCCATATTCTGTAGTTTTTAAAGAACATTAGATTAGGTGCCTTGAGGCAGTTTGAGACGTGGAGGAATCTTGAGAACTTTATATTCGATCTGTTGATTTGATGGGGAAAATCCATGGGCCACAAAAACCAAGTCCGGGCTGTTCATTTGTCTACCTCCAAAGAACTTTCAGAAGAAAGAGAGTCTTCCTGTCTCTTTTTTACCCCTTTGAAGCGGGGAAGTGAGGGAGCAGGGTTTCAAAAGAACAAACATTTAGTGCTGAATTTTTTTTCTCTTGGTGTGTGTACACTTGTGTAGGGTGCTAAGTAGGGTTCCCTGGCCAGCTGCTATAAGCTCGTATTTCTTTCTGGAATTATTGAGTGAAGTTTATTTTCATTTTGCAGGTGAAATATCTGCTGGCAGATTTTGGAGATGACATGCATTGCCAATTTTTTGAAATTCTTCGCAATCTTTTAGACTCATATTCATCAGAATCTCAGGTGTCTTTCTCGTGCCTTTGTTTTACGAGTTTTCATTTTGCCCTGACATTGATTGCCCTTTCTTTATACTTCTCATAGTGTTGAGACTTTCTTCATTTTCATGTCTTTGTTTTACAAGTTTTCATTTTTATGTCTAATTGTAATTTTTGTTGCAGAAAGATACTATCATTGAAATTTTCTATGAGAAGCACCTGGGTCAACTAATTGATGTTATAACATCATCGTGCCCCTCAATCAGTATTGGTCAAATCGTCAATAAATCAGTAAGCATCGATGGAGAGACCAGAAATCAAAAAAGAGTGAGACCTGAAATACTATTGAACATTTGTGATCTTCTGTGCTTTTGTATATTACGCCATCCTGACAGAATAAAGTAATTCTCCTGGCCCCCTTCTTGTGACTCATTAAGTTGTGATTCAATCCATTGGAAATCAATTTGAGTTTATGCTCATTTTGTTCTGCAGATGCAGTTTGCTTTGTCATAATATGATCGGTAAGGTTTTGTATCTGACACAGAGAAGAGAAAAGTACCTTGTAGTTGCTGCTGTTAGAATTATGAGGACTCTTGTTTCTCGCATTGTAAGTTGATATCTTTCAAAACTCTAGATAGATTGATATCATTAACGTATTTGAAATTAAATGTCTTATTGTTCTTTCTTGGAAAAATAATTGCCACTTACATTTCGTCTTTCATTTTGTTATATGTATACTTCATGTCCGTTTGGCATGATTTATAAATCATTTATAAATAGTCGAACTTCATTTTCAAACACACATTCCAATGGACCCACAGAAGGACTATGTACTTATTCACCACTCATTTTTATCTATCTATAAATTAAACCGTATATAAATTCTTCCCAAACGGAGGCTTAGTCATAAATTGACCGTAGATACAAAAGTAAAAGGGTAAAAAATTGACCTTACGTTTCAAATGTTCTTAGATAAAACTATGTACCTATTCCTATCTCTACAGTACTCTTTCCCCTTGCCCTATATACTGCATTTAGATTATGTGATTTATTATCCTTGAGGATGCATATTGGTCGTGCAAATTACACACTTTATCGAATGTTTGGCACAAGGATTCTTTAGTTTGCATAAATATCCTTCTGCATCTGTATCTGATCTACTGATAGAAAAAGTAAGCATTGGGCAAAGAAGCTGAATCTGTTTTGTGAAGTATTTCGACTTGCAACAACAGTGGGTTAAATGTGCTTGTGCCATTTGCTTTGAATAAATCATGAATAACTTTGTACAAATCCACATGTCCAGAATCCACCTATCCTAGGACAGATGAGTTTTCTTCTGCTTTGCCTTTGACTTAGACGTCAGCTTTGGATGGTTTTATTTTTTCAGGATGAAGATATGATGAATCATATAGTGAAGAACAACCTTTTCAAACCTGTTGTAGATGCATTTGTTGCAAATGGAGATCGTTATAACTTAGTTTGCTTAAATATCCTTCTGCATCTGTATCTGATCTACTGATAGAAAAAGTAAGCATTGGGCAAAGAAGCTGAATCTGTTTTGTGAAGTATTTCGACTTGCAACAACAGTGGGTTGAATGTGCTTGTGCCATTTGCTTTGAATAAATCATGAATAACTTTGTACAAATCCACATGTCCAGAATCCACCTATCCTAGGACAGATGAGTTTTCTTCTGCTTTGCCTTTGACTTAGACGTCAGCTTTGGATGGTTTTATTTTTTCAGGATGAAGATATGATGAATCATATAGTGAAGAACAACCTTTTCAAACCTGTTGTAGATGCATTTGTTGCAAATGGAGATCGTTATAACCTTTTGAATTCTGCTGTTCTTGAACTTTTTGAATATATCCGGAAGGTGCTTATCTCATTCATATATTCCTTTGAAGTACATGATATATGGTTTCAATTACTTTATTAACTAAATCACGAGTTATGCAGGAGAACTTGAAGATATTGCTCAGATATCTAGTTGGTTCATTCTGGGATCAGCTGGTAAAGTTCGAGAATTTTTCTTCTGTTCACTCTCTAAAAGTTAAATATGAGCAGGTATTCTCTGTTTTTTATACAATTCATACATACCATTTTTTGGAATTCAGTGTATTTAATTCTTGATTGTGCCTTCACAGTCCCTAGAGAGTGCAGGAACAAGAATCACTGCTAGTTTGTTAGACCATAGGAAACGACCAGATGAGCGTGCATTGGAGAAGGAAGAAGAAGACTACTTTAATGACAACAGGTCAGTGTTCAACTCTTACTTGTTTGTTTGATTGAAAATACACGCATTCATGCATACTTTTAGAATGTAATAATGCTGAAACTGCATAGTAAAGCATCCATTGATCTGCATTCTAATCAGTGATGAAGAAGGTTCAGCATCTGTGCCTATGGACAGTGCCAATAGAGTGCAATCGCAGTCTATGTTGCCTAGTCGGTCTGTCCTGAGCTCCCCGTCCCCAAGGTAGAATTTCTAAAATTGCAATCATGATTTCCATCGTTAAAGGGACGTATCTTTCAATTTTATGTCTCTTAATGAAGGTCCTGTGGACTTGTCGACTATGTTGAAGATGAAGATGAAGATGACGTGAATTACAAGCCACCGCCTAAAAAACTTTCAAATATATCTGACGATGAGAAGGGAGTGTCAGAGTTCCAGTTGAAACTTAAATCGGTTTCAGAGGAGCCCAAGCCTAAAAGGATAAAGTGGTCACCTAAAGGTGCTAAGCCAAGAGAAGTTGTATTTGCATCATTATGCTCAACCCTAAGTCAGACAGTACTGCCCGGTAAGAAAACAGAACAAACTGCACTCGACATGTCTCACTCGGACACAAACAAGAATTCCAGTGAACCAAATCACGAAGAGAAAGGCCATATAAGCACTCCCGACGAGGGCAAAAAAGCAGTTGTGGAAAACCTTGCCAACAAGGTAGAAAATGATTCTTCTACAAGTTATTCTAATACCTTACCCGATTCCCCAGATAATAGGCAGCACCCAGAGATGGCCGTAAATGGATCTTGAGTTATATTTAGAATCGATATTTTTGCCAACTATAATACTTGACTGCAAAAGTGCTGGGTGAGAGATCCGTCCCATGTAGGCATGTACCGGAACTTCTAATAGAACTGAACCAAATGAACCAGGATAACGTGCGAATGCAAATACCCTTAATATCAGGAGAAAATACTGTACAGTATTGTTGCAAGGTTGCGGAGGTATTATTCATAGGATTCCCCCTTATTCAGTATTTCGATTTTTTCAACTCAGTGATTGCTCCCTTTGTAACCAATTGCTTCTGTTCTCCACTCGATCTTTTCTGCTTATTTATATGTAGTAGTCGATACGCTTTATAGTTCATGAACTATATTGGCATGTTTGATAAGGTGGGGTAAACAATATTTGTTTCCTTTGTGATATAAGTAGAGAAGAAATCTGTCCAGCACGCTGCTGATTCTTCACAAGCCATGGGTGTAACAGAGAGGTTGAAGATTGAGTTGCCTGAAAAGTGGAATTTGCTTTTGGTTCCTTTTAAACCACCAGATGCATTTTCCTGCTGAATAAAAACTTTCAATAGGCTAATGGAATCATTTTGGATCATATAATTTTTTTTCATTGCAAGATGTTGAGATCAGATGGATCAGAAATCTTGTAGACAGATCTTGTTACTGTTTACTTGCCATGAATTGAAAAAAATATTTCTTCTGGGTGGGTAAAAATGATGTAAATTATTGGAGATCAAGAAAAGAATTTACCTGTTATTTCCATTTGTTTATTTGTTTTCAATGGTGGTGTAGCAATTAATGTATTGTTTACAGATTATTATACATGAAGGAGATTTTGTGACCAGATTCAATAAAACTTAACACGAGGTGCCCAATATCAAATAATTAAGCCTCTCGTTAAGCCCGCGTTTGGCCCCCATTAAAATTCTTCAATTTCATTTAAATTTTTCTCTCTTCTATTTTCAACTTTGCAATGTTCAATAAAGTAATATTACATGCAAATTGAAAATTTTTCATTCTTTTACAATCATTAATTTTTCAAAAAAAAAAAAAATTACTGTTTCCCTCATTATAAATCCAAATAATGGGATCAAATGGGGGCTAAGTAGGGATGGCAAAATATTTCGAGTTGGGATGACTAGTTTTGATTTATATTCTTCGATTTAGTGCCCTGACTTGGTCGGTAATTGATATGTTTTTGCCTTATAAATTGGACTTTCCAAGAATTGAATTTTGAGAAAGTGAAGGCTTTGATCGGTCAATAAAATAATATGCTTTCAAGTCCAATAATTCGTCTTCTTTTCAGATTACACCTATTAAGGCATCCAAACAGTAATTTAGAGTCATTTAGAGTGTGTTTAAGTCACATTATTTTTTAAGAATGTATTTTGAAATAGTAGATTGATGAAAAATGTGCGATTAAAAAAAAAGGATTTACGTATAATATTATTTTATTGAAGAATGTGTAGTTGAAATGATATTAAATCATTATTTACGAATGTATTTTTTCCAAATGATACGGCTCAAACATGGCCTTAAGTAAGCTTCATTATATTAAGATCTGTCTCCACTCGTTATATATCAATACAATTGTGCTGCACATTTAGGGTGGAAAATAGGGGCGGCATGTGTCATCTCACAATTGGACAGTTTGAAAAATGAAAGCAAAAAATACCCAATCATTTGCTGCTTCTAAAGCTTGTCTCCTCCTCTTTTTTAATCCTAACTAACTGCCTTTATTCATATAAGTAAGAGTTTGATCAATTACTCTATTTACATTCCATTTAACACGTTATCACTTTAGAAACACATATTCTAATACTTATATTTGAGTTAAATTCACATTTAAATCAACAAGTCAAACTTTTTATTTGATACGAGATTAGGTAAAAAAAAAAAAAAAAATTCTACTAAAAATTATTAGTGATAATTAGGTCATAGGTGAGAGAAGTGGAAGATTCTCATCCATTTGAATATATTAGTCGAGATCATGATTCATGCAGATAAGGACAGGTAGTGGTGCCTGCACTTGGACCCCTACCCCTACGCCCACTAAAATTGGCTTTAAATGTTTGGGGACCAAAATTTAAGTGCTCAATGTGAAACATAACATTAATTTCGCCGACAAATTTCACGTTCACTTGTTCTACAGAATCGAAAATAATAAACATGAAGAAACATTTTAAATGACAAATAAAAACAAATTTGATCACTTTTTCATTTAAAAATTTAAGATTTTATACCACATTACTCCAAACTATTGAAGTAGCTAGCAAATCTACCTTGAATCCTTAATATTGCTTTAGAAACCAAACTTCTCTAAGAAAAATATTGTATTATACCTACCCAAAAGTCAACTACATTGCACATGATTATTTAAAAAAAAAAATGATACATTTACCAATGAAAGGTCAAAATAAAATCATAGTAGGATCTCCTCTTATACTTTGACATTTTAGTTTATTAAATATCCCAAGGAGACAATATTTCCAAGCCCAACTAATACAGTTGCAAAGTATGACAAAGGGAACCTTTTTTTGCATCTATTTAACTGCAAAATGACATTCTTATCAAGTATCCAAATTGTCTATCAAACTTTTACAAGTTATGGAATCTTCACTCAATCTTCTCCTCCTCCTCTTCCTCGTCATATGCTGCCATGTATTGGCGGCAACACCGCCTTCAGGTGGCCCTTTGTACCCCGAAGAAGCCCTTCCCACCAAATCAGGCTACCTAACAGTCAACTCCACAACAGGTTCTGCCATTTTCTATGCATTCTATGAAGCCCAAACTTCCTACAACAAGATACCAATATCAGAGTCCCCTATCCTTATTTGGCTTCAGGGAGGCCCCGGCTGCTCTTCCATGCTCGGGAACTTGCGCGAGGTTGGCCCATGGATTTTGAATCAAGAACTTACACTTGAAGGAAATCCAGGTTCTTGGAATAAAATTTTTGGACTTGTTTTTCTTGATAATCCTATAGGAACTGGATTTAGCATTGCTGCATCAAATCAAGAAATTCCAAGAAACCAATATGATGTTGCTAAGCACCTTTTTATTGCAATTCAGAAGTTTATAGCTTTAGACAAATCATTCAAAAATAGGCCAATTTACTTAACTGGTGAGAGTTATGCTGGAAAATATATTCCAGCTCTTGGATATTATATTATTAAGATGAATTCCCAGTCGCATAAGGAAAATAGGGTGAATTTGGGGGGTGTTGCTATAGGAAATGGATTAACAGATCCTGAAATTCAAGTGTCTACTCATGCTATAAATTCATTTTATTTAGGTTTGATTAATGAAAAGCAAACAGCCCTTTTGGAGAAACTTCAAACGGATACAATTGGATTCATTAGAAGAGGCAAGTGGAGTGAGGCAACAGATGCAAGAAATAGAGTATTGGATACATTAACAAACATGACTGGTTTAGCCACTTTATATGATTTCAGAAGGCTAATTCCTTACCAAAATGGCGTAGTCGACAAGTTTTTGAACAATGTCAAGGTGAAGAAGGCGCTAGGAGCAAAGGAAGACAAGTTTTTCGAGAGGTGCAGCAGTGTGGTGAGCGGTGTTTTACACGACGATGTAATGAAGAGCGTTAAGTATATGGTTGAGTTCTTGGTTAAGAACACGAAAGTTTTATTGTATCAGGGACAGTGTGACTTGAGAGATGGCGTACCCTCGACTGTAGCTTGGGTGAGGACGATGAGGTGGGACGGGATTCCCGGGTTTTTGCAGGCAGAGAGAAAGGTTTGGAGGGTGGATGGGACACTGGCTGGTTATGTGCAGAAGTGGAAAAATCTGAGTCATGTAGTTGTGCTGAATGCTGGGCATCTTATGCCTGGTGATCAGCCCGTGAATTCTCAGGTAATGATCCAAGATTGGCTCTTAGACAAGGGACTGTTTGCTAGTTAGAAAAACGAATTCTTGCCTACTGAATTTAGGAGGGAAAACTTGTTTTTACTATTTACTTTTTCTTCTTGTTGTAATATGATTTCCCATTATTGGATCCAATAGGAAGTTATTGATGCTCAAGGCATAATAACTATCATTTGTACTGATCAATAAGTCAATTTTCTTTTTTAATAAAGTACAATCACATTCCTAATGTATTTTTAGGCTCTATCAAGACAGGAGAGAGGGGTTGAGATTCACTTATAATCAGGGGCGCACCCAACCGTTTTGGATTGTGGAGTCAAAAATTAGAGTAGTGCTACAGTGTCCACATAAATGACTGCAGGGTTGACCAACACACACATGGGGTAGGAATTATTTTATTTATAGGGATCCCGCTGGGCATATGAGGGCGCGGTCACTTGCGAGGTCATCCTCACGAGTTGTGCTTGGCTCCAAAAATTAATGTGTAATTTTTTAAAACAATATAATATTTATAAAAATAAGTTAATACGTATTTTGACATCTTAAAAGTGTCTTATAATTCTATCACTATCAATATTGTTAAATGAATTTTGTTACATGTATAGTTTTGTTTACCATGTCATTTATGGATGTTGAGCTAACGACGAGCAAATCAAATTGGATGGAGGAAGTAAATGAAATTTAAGTTTAACGAAAAAATAATTTGAAAGTAATTCAAATTACATTTAATCCGTAACGATTTTAGAATTTTTGATATCATTTTTAATGTAAAATTTCCTAATAAAATGATGTAAATTATATTGGAAAATTTATCGTGAAAAAAAATAAACGTTAATGAAATAATTGATTTTTTTTTTAAAAAGACGAGTTAAGCGTCTCTTTTAATACATACGTTTGACGCATATTTAACTATTTTCGATATCTGTTTGGACCATTCGATATGACTACGATGCAATTTTCGTAACGAACTTCTAGATGATGCAAGCGATTTGTAGATTTGGATAGTATATGATCATTGGCAAATTTTAAAAGTTAGCATATTATCAAAATTTTCAAAATACTAATTTGGAATGGCCTACTTTGATATATAGTAACTTTTGCTATGATTGATCATTTCGCACACCATTAAGAAGCAAAAAACTAGACCATAAGTGCTTAGAAATGATATTAAGAATGCAATATTTCGATTTTATTTGGTATGTATTAAAGTGAGTCGAAAGCGGGTTAAAACAACCATTTTTTGAAAAAAAAAAACAAAAAAAAATTTTGTGGGCTCATCTGACCCCACATGACCTCATGTTGGTCCGTCCCTTCTTATAATGATAAAATAAATGAGTAAGAAGGGGCGTATACCTAACCTCTAGTCAAAGGAATAACCTACTCTACAAACGTGAAAAAATCAACAAAAGAGCCTAAAGGACTGTAAACATGGAAAGTCCATATCTATCAATATGTAATAGAGCGAGCAGCCGTCTAGAGGACCTTCGATTTGGTTACAAAGGCCTGTCAATAATCAATATTGGGCATCGATCATTTCCTTATTGAATATGTATAAACCAATCAAATCTATCTGATATTGGCATGTTCTATCTTGTTAGTAATTTGTACGAGCTTTACATATAACCCAATTTGATTTAGATAAAAATTAAATTTTTAATGAATTTTGATAAAATGTAAAATGTGTGATTGAAAAGTTGAATCCTATTAAATGTGTGATAAATAAATTGTTAACTTTAATTTAAATTTTAATCTTTTTTATTAGCTAAATTAAACAACAGCATAATATTCAATCGACGTGAGATTCTACAAATTAACCAC